AGCAATTAGCAAGAGTTAAAGAACTAGACCCATCAAAGACAAGGGTAAGAATTTCAAAAATAACCACTGGAACGAAATCAGGGATGGATATGTCTAGGACATATAACCAAGAAATCAAGATCAAGCACCTCAAGTAACTAGAATTAATTAACAGAATTTCAATAGTTGGTGTCAAGATCCTCAGAAGATTAATAATGCACTACTTAGGTAGCAAAACAGCAATCTGTAGGTAAGGGAAAATAATCATTATTCTAAAATTAAAATCTAGAGCACCAGGTATCTTGATGACATCGTACTCAAAGTGTAGTCCATGGAGGCAAGATATTTCTACAATCAAGTCATCTCTAGAATCAAGTCAAATCAGAGATATCAAGGCATAAATATCAGCATTAGGCTATTCATGACAAAATAAGGATACTTCCAAATATATTCCTAAAAATCATCACCCCTCCTAAGGAGGTGCCCACATGAAACTTAAAAATCAAGAAAATTAACAGGTATATTGGTATACAAAAACAACAACTAGTATAGAATTCAGGATTCGAGTAGGAGCAGTATTTAGAATTTGAGCAAGAGCAGGTGTCAGAATAAGAATAGTTTTCTAGGACAGTTCAGAAATAGATTCCAAAACCAAGTATCAATCGATTTTTAGGAATAGGACGTTAACATGAATTTATTTCAACAAGGTTCAAAGAACTGATTCCAAGCATGATGCAAGAAACAGTTTCAGACAAGTCTCAAGATAATGAGGATTTCAACAATCATAATTTCATATTTGGAATTTCAGTACTCAAGAACAAGTACTAGGCAATCTCAAGGAAGGGTTCAAGATTTCAAGAGTCTCACAAGCAGTTCCAATAGGTATCAAGAGCTCCATCAATTAATTTCTATTCAAATAACAAGTCCTAACAAGTGTAGACTATCACAAAAGACCAAGTTTCAAAACAAGATTTCAAGAATCTTCACCATATCAAAATAGGTAATGAGAACTAATAAGAATACCATCTAGTCAAAACTAGATCAGGAAAATTCATGAAATAAGAACCAGAATTGTCCTTTGTGTAACCCCATCACTCGTCTCACCACGGTCTGATGGGAATCAAGATGACAGCATATTTACTATGTCATGTGATCCATTACACACCCAAGGAGGTCCAGTCACGCAAGCTAGAGCTAAGAAGATGCGTGAAGCTTTAAACGGCCTTATTGAGCAGATATGGGTTGAAAACAACATATAACAAGCAAATTGAAGCTTGGATGATTATCAAGGCATGGTAAACATCATTCAGGTTCAAGAGAAGCTTAGTTGAGGTCATTTGCACGGAATTACACAGTTTGCGTCAAAATCGCACAATTCTGCCGCAACTTGTAGCAAACTGATATTTCGTGTTATTTTAGGTTATTTTTAGTGATTTTCATGTTTTTGTATTATTTTTGGGCTGAACATTTGCTTATTTGAAGCCCAATTCGTGGTTATTAGGTTTAGGACTTAGGGTGTTAGTTTCCTATTCTGATTAGGATTTGTTTTCTCTATTTAAAGGGCTTGTAACCCTAATGGGGAGGGAAGCTATTGAATCTGAGATTTTGAGAGACTTTTCTCTTTGGTTCATTTCAGAACTTTACAGAACTTATCAAGATTATTCTTGTGGCGTTCTAACCTGACTTATCATTCTTGTTCTTAATCGTTCGAGGGTGTGGCATCAACCAACTTTATACCTCTGGTTCTTGTTGCGTCATAGACAACGGATCAAGGTTTTTGCCTTTGGTTCTTGTTGTGACATAAACAACGGGTCAAGGTCCTATTATAAACCTGATTTAGCTTTCCTAGAGTTTAGAAATCCCTTGTCGTGCTGTGGGTCTCATTGTTCTCTTTGGGGTTCTCATCACGGTCCTAAAATCCATTGGCCAGCCAAGTTCTAACCTAGTCCTAGGTATTTAGTTAAACCTAGGCTCTGATACCACAAAATCTGTCACGCCCCAAAACCGGAAGTGAAATAGGCGCCATACATTCATGAGAGAATCCCACAAATGCAAAAGGCTCAAAACTTGCTAAATTCATAACTAACAATCCACATAAACTTAGATCAACATCTCAAAATAAAATCTAGCTTACAAAAGAATGATCTATATCTCAAAATCTATGTCCAAAATACAAGTGGCTAGCCTTTTAGCTCGTCACTCCCTTTGGTTTTCCACGTCTCTAGTCTCACTACCTAAAATGGTGGACGAGGAAAAACTATGTGAGATAACTCAATAAGTAAAATATGGATAGCCCTTACTGAATTTAAAGCATGTCAAGTAAGCATTTAAATTTTAAATAGGAAGAAAATCTTAGTTATAAATCATTTATGCACATGAATATTAATAAAACTCTAAGTTTAGCACATGAATTTTCTAGAGAAAACTTTATGAAAAGATGGATCAATGCCATACAGTGTTTACTATATGATAAGTTATGCATTGACTAATAGTTATCAATCTAATCTTTTTAAAGATAAAGAATATATTGAATTAAATCCTATGTTCTCTGAAATAGGACAAATTTAGAAATCAGAAATAATTATTGAAATAGAACTACCCAAAGAATGGGAAATAGACATTAGTGAAAGACCACTCTTAATAGGAGAAAGAGAAAAGCCTAGACTAATGGCATATGAGTTAGGAAAACTATTAGTCAAAACTGAACCTGAACCCAACCATAGAAATAGTATAAACTTAGGAACTTTGTGCTATCCTAAAAAAGATAAAGAGGTCTTAACCAGAATGACTAGTATAAAACATGAGGTGGTGTTAGACACCTTAAAAATTCCTTCTAGACATTTCGAAATAAAAGGAGATTATTATGATGGAAAGGAATGGCATAACATTTCTATCCTAATAGATACATAAGCTGGAGTGACACATATCCATAACGATATGATTCCACACCTACAAAGATTTGAACTCACTAGACTATATACATATTATAACTTTAATGGTGCAGTAGCTACAGTATATGAATATGCTAAAATACCTCTTCAAATAAAGAATAAGAATAAGATTCAACATGAAATCAATATAAAACAATAATAGAAAGAGTTACTGCCATAATTGGAGGAATTGAAGTTATAATTCCTCGAGCTTGAGTCTACGAAAGTAACAAACATGGGAATGACATTCTATTGGGAAACAATTTCCTAAGTCAATTCAAGTAGTATGTTCAAATTGCATCAGATGTGAAATTTTATACACCTTGTGGACATTGGCTTTATGCCTCTAGAATTTATAATGCTTATACTAGAACAATAAAACCATTAAATTTTTGCAGCCAACGTGGTGATGATAATAGAAAAAACCGATCAAAAGAGATTAAAAAACCATTGTTAGCATTGTGGAATAATGAAAAAACACAAGAAGAAATAACCCTAGAATCTATCTCAAAAGAACTAAGTAATTATGGAGAAGATCCTACAAAACTATGGGCAGTTGACAAACTTATGCCACAATCTAATTAATAGACCCACAAACTATCATTAGAGTCAAACTAATGAGGTATAGTGATGGGATTCAAAATGACCCTACATGTACCACGTCAAGAGATCCATTACACATTCCAGGAGGTCCAGTCATGAGAGCTAGAGCTAGGAAGATGCGAGAAGCTTTAATGGCCTTATTGAGCAGATCTGGGTTGATAACAACATGCAACAAGTAAATCGAAGCTTGGATGATTATCAAGGCATAGTAAACATCATTCAGATACAAGAGAAGCTTAATTGAGGTCGTTTATGCTAAATTACGCAGTTTGCATCAAAATCCCTCAATTTTGTCGCAATTTGTAACAAACTGATATTTCATGTTACTTTAGGTTACTTTTAATGATTTCCACGTTTTTTTGTATTATTTTGGGCTGAACATTCATTTATTTGAGGCCCAATTCATGGTTATTAGGATTAGGGCTTAGGGTGTTAGTTTCCTATTCTGATTAGAATTACTTTTCCCTATTTAAAGGGCTTGTAACCCTAATTGGGGAAAGCTGTTGAATCTGAGCTTTTGAGGGACTTTTTCTCTTTGGTTCGTTTCAGAACTTTACAAAACTTATCAAGATTATTCTTGTGGCATTCTAACCTGACTTATCATTCTCGTTCTTAATCGTTCAAGGGTGTGGCGTCAACCAACTTTATACCTCCGGTTCTTGTTGCGTCATAGACAACAGGTCAAGGTTTTTACCTTTGGTTCTTGTTGTGACATAAACAATGGGTCAAGGTCCTATTATAAACCTGATTTAGCTTTCCTGGAGTTTAGAAATCCCTTATTGTGCTGTGGGTCTCATTGTTCTCTTTGGGGTTCTCATCATATAGCCCTGAAGATAGGGAAAATTTTGATAAGCAAATTCAAGAATTAATAACCTAAAACATTATACAAGCCTCTAAGAGTCCGCATGGTAGTCCTGCCTTAATGGTAAGAAATCATAGTGAATTAAAAAGAGGAAAAGTTAGAATGGTTGTCAATTACAAACAGTTAATAGCAAGACTAAATTTGATGGTTACTTCTTATCACATAAAGAAACTCTAATCAATAGCATTAGAGGAAAGAAAATATATTAAAGTTTGATTGCAAATCTGGATTTTGGCAAATTAAACTAACTTCTGAAAGTATCCCATTAACAACTTTTAATGCTCCCACAAGACACTATGCGTGGTTAGTAATGCCTTTTTGGATTAAAAAATGCACCTTAAATATTTCAAAAGAAGAAGGGATAATGTATTTTCTTCCATAAAAAAATTTGGTTAAATCCTCATTTTGGTCCCTGAACTATTGTACGGACCCCCGATTTGGTCCCTGAAGAAATCCCTGATTTGGTCCTTAAACTATTGTACGGACCTCCAATTTGGTCCCCACTGTTTATAATTTGGCCTAAGTTGGTCCTTGAACTATTGTACGGACCCCCAATTTGGTCCTTACTGTTTACAATTTCGCCCCAATTTGGTCCCTGAGCTATTATTTAACAGAAGGACCAAGTT